TCCTTTTGGGGCCTCCGAAACCTCAGGTTTCACCTCCTTTTGGGATTCCGAGAGTTCAGGTTTCACCTCCTTTTGGGACCTCCGAGACCTCAGGTTTCACCTCCTTTTGGGGCTTCCGAGAACGGGTTTCACCTCCTTTTGGGGCATCCGAGAGCTCAGGTTTCACCTCCTTTTGGGGCCTCCGAAACCTCAGGTTTCACCCCCTTTTGGGACCTCCGACCTCAGGTTTCACCTCCTTTTGGGATTCCGAGAAGGTTTCACCTCCTTTTGGGGCTCCGAGACCTCAGGTTTCACCTCCTTTTGGGGCTTCCGAGAACGGGTTTCACCTCCTTTTGGGGCATCCGAGAGCTCAGGTTTCACCTCCTTTTGGGGCCTCCGAAACCTCAGGTTTCACCTCCTTTTGGGATTCCGAGAGTTCAGGTTTCACCTCCTTTTGGGACCTCCGAGACCTCAGGTTTCACCTCCTTTTGGGCTTCCGAGACAGGTTTCACCTCCTTTTGGGGCATCCGAGAGCTCAGGTTTCACCTCCTTTTGGGGCCTCCGAAACCTCAGGTTTCACCTCCTTTTGGGATTCCGAGAGTTCAGGTTTCACCTCCTTTTGGGACCTCCGAGACCTCAGGTTTCACCTCCTTTTGGGGCTTCCGAGAACGGGTTTCACCTCCTTTTGGGGCATCCGAGAGCTCAGGTTTCACCTCCTTTTGGGGCCTCCGAAACCTCAGGTTTCACCTCCTTTTGGGATTCCGAGAGTTCAGGTTTCACCTCCTTTTGGGACCTCCGAGACCTCAGGTTTCACCTCCTTTTGGGGCCTCCGAGAACGGGTTTCACCTCCTTTTGGGGCCATCCGAGACCTCAGGTTCCACCTTCTTTTATGGCCTCCGGGACCTCAGGCTGCACCTCCTTTGACGCCTCCGGGACCTCAGGTTTCACCTTCTTTTGGGGCCTCCGAAACCTCAGGTTTCACCTCCTTTTGGGATTCCGAGAGCGCAGGTTTCACCTCTTTTTGGGACCTCCGAGACCTCAGGTTTCACCTCCTTTTGGGGCCTCCGAAAACGGGTTTCACCTCCTTTTGGGGCATCCCAGAGCTCAGGTTTCACCTCCTTTTGGTGCCTCCGAAACCTCAGGTTTCACCTCCTTTTGGGATTCCGAGAGCTCAGGTTTCACCTCCTTTTGGGACCTCCGAGACCTCAGGTTTCACCTCCTTTTGGGGCCTCCGAGAACGGGTTTCACCTCCTTTTGGGGCATCCGAGAGCTCAGGTTTCACCTTCACCTCCTTTTGGGCCTCCGAGAGTTCAGGTTTCACCTCCTTTTGGTGCCTCCGAGACCTGAGGTTTCACCTCCTTTTGGTGCCTCCGAGAACTCAGATTTCACTTCCTCTGGAGGCCTCCGAGACCTCAGGTTTCACGTCCTTTGGGGCCTCTGAGACCTCAGGTTTCACCTCCTTTGGGGCCTCCGAGACCTCAGGTTTCACCTCCTTTGGGTGCCTCCGAGACCTCAGGTTTCACCTCCTTTGGGGCCTCCGAGACCTCAGGTTTCACCTCCTTTGGGTGCCTCCGAGACCTTAGGTTTCACCTTTTTTTGAAGCCTCCGAAACCTCAAGTTTCGCTTTCGTTGTTGGCTTCCGAGACCTCAGGTTTCACCTCCTTTGGGTGCCTCCGAGAGCTCAGGGTTCACCTACTCTGAGCACCCTCAAGACCTCCAGGTTTCACCTGCACCGGGCGTCCTTAAGATCCAGGTTTCACCTTCACTGGGCTCGCTCAAGAGCTCCAGGCTTCACCTACGCCGAGCGCCCTTGAGAGCTCCAGGTTTCACCTACACCGAGCGCTTTTGAAAGCTCCAGATTTCACCTACTCTTACTCTGGGCCCCGTCAAAGCTCCAGGTTTCACCTGCTCTGGGCCACCTCGAAAGCTTGAGGTTTCACCTAGTCTGGGCCCCCTCCAAGGATCCAGGTTTCACCTACACCGAGCGCCCTTGAGAGCTTCTACTCTAGGCCCCGTCAATTAAAGAGCTCCAGTTTTTGTCTAATCTGGCTAGAGAGCTCCAGATTTCACCTACTCCGGGCCCCCTCAAGGGCTCCAGGTTTCACCTACTCTGGGCCCCTCAAGCACACCTACTCTGGGCTCCCGGAAGAGCTCCAAGTTTCACGTATTCGGGGTCTTCTCAAGAGCTTGTAGTTTCACGTACTCTGGGTCCCCGCAAGAGCTCCAGGTTTCACCTACACTGGGCCCACTCGAGAGCTCCAGGTTTCACCTACTCTGGGCCTCCTCAACAGCTTCAGGCTTTTCCTACCCTGTCAAGAGCTCCAGGTTCACGTACTCATAGCCCCTTCAAGAGTTCCAGGTTTCACCTTCTCTGGATTCCCAAGAGCTCGAGGTTGCATTTATACTGGTTAGAGAGCTCCAGGTCCCTACTCTGAGCCTTCTCAAGAGCTCCAGGTTTCACCTACTCTGGGCCTCTTCACCTATACTGTGCGCTCTCGAGAGCTCCAAGTTTCACCTACTCTGGGCCCACTCGAGAGCTCCAGGTTTCACGTACTTTGGGTCCCTTCAAGAGTTCAAGGCCTCGAGAGCCCTAGGCTTTACCTACACCGAGCGCCCTTAAGAGCTCCGGGTGTCATCTGGCCCTCGCGAGAGCTCCAGGCTTCACCTACACTGAGCGCCCTGGAGAGCTCCAGGTTTCACCCCCGAAGAGCTCCAGGTTTCACATGCTCTGAGCCCTGTCAAGTGCTCCAAGTTTCACCTACACTGAGTGCCCCAGAGAACGCTCCAAGTGGCACCGATTCTCAGTGCCCTTGAGAGCTCCAGGTTTCACCTACTCTGGGCCTCCTCGCGAGCTCCCGGTTTCACCTACACAGAGCGCCCTTCAAAGCTCCAAGTTTCACCTACACTGTGCGCTCTCGAAAGCTCCAGGTTCCTCAAGAGCTCCAGGTTTCACCTACTCTGGGCCCACTCGAGAGCTCCAGGTTTCACGTACTCTAGGTCCCCTCCACAGCTCCAGGCTTCACCTAGTCTAGATTTCGCTTACTCTGGCCGCTGGAGAGCTCCAGGTTTCACCTACTCTGGGCCCCTTCAAGAGTTCCAGGTTTCACCTACTGTGGGCCTCTTCGAGAGCTCCAGGTTTCACCACCCTTGAGGGCTCCAGATTTCACTTACACTGTGCGCTCTTGAGAGCTCCAGGTTTCACCTACTCTGAGCCTCCTCAAGAGCTCCAGGTTCACCTGCTCTGGGCCCCTTCGAGAGCTCCAGGTTTCACCTATACTGATCGCACTTGACACTTCCAAGTTTCATTTACTCTGACCCTCCTCAAAAGCTCCAGGTTTCACGTACCTTGAGCCCCCTCAACCTGTCGGCTGCATTATATAGCGGGCCCCAAGAACTTTCGGTTTCACCTCGGAAGATGGCCCCCAAAGTATTCAGCTCTACTCCGCAAGCCCTCGGTTTTAGTGCCACCTCTACATTAAACGGAGCATGCGTCTCGAAGCTTCACTATGTCTCATCGGCCCGCTGGGATCAAACTAGCCAGCCGAAAGGGTGCTAGCCTCACTTGTCTGAGCTTTCCATTTCCGGCTGCCTCGCTTCAAGTGCGACAAGGTTCACGTAGCCGTACCGCATAAACCATATCGTGCCGGATATGCTTGCAGGATGGACGACCTCCCGGCACTACACTACGTACAGCCAGCTTCTCAGACCGGTTCGGTTACGATCGAAGTGCCTAGACCCGTTACGGTGACGCCAGGTTAAATCGGGCCGTGGAGAAAGCCTTCCGCAATACGCTCACGCCGAGACAGTCGCCGCCTCGTCCCGAAATACCAGTTTTATCGATGACCTGCTTCCGTGCCAGGCTGAAGAAGTGGACGACAGCCGACGGCAATGAGCAGCGCCCGGAGCCGAGCACTAACTATACGGGGGCTTAGGAGGTGCCGAATGCATGTCTGCCACCCAGCCAACAGGCCACCTGTACTACACGTGGGAATTTGCGGAAGTGCGGTGGCGGATGATCCGCGAAATCCGAAAGAAGCTGTGTGCAGGGAGCTCGGACGCTTCAACGCGTATGCGGTCGCTTGATGACAGACCCCGTCGCGAGGGCGTCGACAAGGTCCACAAAGCTATTGACGTTCTCAAAGAGAGTGGCTGGGTATGCATCGCACTCAGCTCTGTCAGAGTCAGGTCGGCAACTCTTCCCACACTCCGTGAGGCGAGGAGATGGAGGACTTGCCGGACCCGTCTTGCTACCGGTGGCGCCACGGCCTCTATCCCCAAGCGTGGGCTTGGGAAGATGATCTCCTAGACGAGGCCGGTTCACACATTCGATCCTATCTGTCCGGCACAAATGTCCAGCGACTCTGACTGCCAGGTCTGAGCGACGGCTGCAGTGTGTGCGCCGCAGGAAAAGCAAAAAGAAGCGTCCGGCGTGCCAGCTGTTACTTGAAACCACACGTAGCAAAGCACAAAGTCCCGGGCTCCCGCTCCACCTATACAGTGGACCCGAGACTCCAGGACTCAACCACAATTGCTGCAAACGTATTGGCACAACAACGCACAGGTCTTTAAACTCGGCTGTCGTCATGGGTACGTCTATTTCGCACAAGCTAGGAGGTTCCTGGGTTTACTTTGTCAATGCCCCGCACAAGATGGGAGGCTCCTAAATTCACTTTGATCATGGTCTGCACAGGCTAGAAAGCTCCTAGCTTCACCCTGTTAGTGGGCTGCAGAGACTGGGAGGCTCCTGGGTTCACCCCGTCGATGCCCAGCACAGGTGGAAAAACTCCTAGGAACATCTTGTTGGATTGTTGCAGAGGCTAGGAGTTCACCTTTAGTTTTGCACAGGTGGGGAGGCCGCTGAATTTATCTCGTTACTTTCTCAGACAACCGTCTTTAGCGCCTCAACACTCTAGGACCCACTTCTTCGAAGCCCTTCGGGTATATGAGATTCTTTTATTTGCAGCTTCAGTGCCCGAAGTAGCGCTTATCGTCGTGGGCCTCAGAGCAGCAACCCTCCAGCCATGAAGCGGTCTGCTGCGCCTGCTAGTACGGCCAAACGCCGGCGCTGTTCTCCGGTGGTGCAGTGGAATCCCCAAGGAGCGGGGGCACTAAGGGCGTCCTCCCGGTCGTGGCAGCAGTGGCTGCAACATCTGCCGCCACCCGCCGGCGTGATCGTGTGCCAGTGCCTGGCGGGGAGAACACATGCACTCCTCCAGCTGCCTGATGCTGCCTTCCTGAGTGGCGTCTTGGAGTTCTCCACGGTCCCCGCTTGGGGCCAGTATCGCTCGCTATGGCAGGCCGAAGGGCCGTGGAACCAACGTCGTGGTCGTTCAAAGCTACCGCAGCAGCTGCTGGACATCGAAGAAGTGGTGCAAGACCTGGATGTGGCGCGGCGCCTCGCAAGGACGTGCGATCCCTTGCGTCCCTTTCTGAAGCGCACGGCATCGTCATTGCAGGCCTTCATGAAGAAACGCTGCAGAGAGGTGGAGCGTGAGGTAGCCGAGCGCCGGCAACGCGAAGTACTGGAGGTCCGAGATCTGCATCAACACCCCCTCCGCGACCTGCTGGACCGCGTGGTGCCCTACTCGGTCAGCGAAGGGGAAAGGAACGGCTATCTGATGGTGGACGAAGCCATTTTGCGGAATCTCGGCTACCGTCGCGTACGCCGCCTGGCGAAGGCAGGGTTTGGGTTCCGCGTAGCGAGCCTTGCGCAGATCAGCAATCTCCGGGAAGCCACCAAATTCAGCAAGCCACGCTGGAAGCGGCAGCTGGAGACAGGAACACTGCGGGCAGCAGTGACCGTGCAAGTCGCGGACAACATGAGACTGCGGCTGGTGTGGCAGGGCCCGGTGCGCCGCGCCTTCTTGTTTTTTGCGTTTCACAAAGACGTCTGTTGACGGCAAAAGGAGAGAAGCCGCTCCTGGATTCACCTGTTCAGGCAGCAGGTTCCCAGATTCATCTTGTTAGTGCAGACTAGGAGGCTCCTGGATTCGCGTTGTCAGGGATCTGCGCAAGCACCCCAGGTTTCACCTCCTTCTGGGGCCTCCGAGACCTCGTTTTGGGGCCCCGGAGTCCTCAGGTTTCACGTCCTTTTGGGGCCTCCGAGACCTCAGGTTTCACCTCCTTTGAGGGCCTTCGAGACCTCAGCGTAAAGCTCAGGCCGAAAATTGCAAAGGTCCCGAGCCCTACACTGAGTCAGCGACTCTAGGGTACAGGCCTTCCATTCCGCCCCCCCACCGAAGAGCTGACTCTCAAGATTCCAAGCCTTTCATTTCACCCCTGCAGCAGGGTAACGGCTCCGGACTCCAGGCCTATACTGGCTCAGTCAATGTACAACCTTGCGATAGCCCACGCTCCAGGCTCCGGGACCCGGGCCCCGCCGCTTCACTTGCACGGAAGTTGAGGGTTCAATTTGAAGCTGATGGCTCCAAGCTTCGCTGCCTCGCAAACTTGTTGAGCTAATGGAGTCCCACGATCCCAGGACCAGGACCGAGCCGACACACCACGCGAGTCTCCGCGACACTTAACGTTCGTCGCCTCGCACATGTCAGGACAACGCGGCCGAGCGAGGATGTGCTCCATTCGGCCCCGCAACCCAAACGGATGCTGCCTCTCGCCTGGATGCCAGGCAAAATCGGGTGCATTCAGCCCTCCCAAGTATAGGTGACACATCCCTCTCATGTGCAGCGGCGCCACAGGCGGCGAGATCACCTTATGGACTCCAGCTATCGGCCTAGCACCGGGCGAGTACGCCCCAGCAGGAACAAGTCCCTTCGCTGCACAAATGCCGGTGATTAGCTGTCCTTGTAATCCAAACCTTGCAGGCACGCGTGTCCTGGTTGAGGCCTGATCCGGCACACGAACCCTCTGCCGTGGCAGCTGCCCAACGCTGAGGGCAAGTACTTGCCGATTAGACGGTGCCTACGCCAGTTTCGCATAACTTGCGCAGCGTTTCACGCCTAGAGTGCTTCAGTCCGGCTACCTGAATCGCCGAACAGTCATCGCGCAGATGAAATGACATGGATGTCCTGTTCATATATCCGCAGGTTTGCAAGTATGCAAGTCCACAAGTCTTCCCAGCAGTTCAGACCGATAGTGCTACCCTCTTGAGCTCACTCGTTGGATTCGTCTTGTCTATCCTCAGCATGGGTTGAGGGCTTTTGAGGTCGCTTGGCAGTTCCACTAAGGCGAGATGGCTGCTAGATTCACGTCGCAAGCCGCACGGTTTGGGGAATTCCCAGATTCACCTGGTTAATAACTCACTCTGAGCCCTCAAAAGCTCCAGGTTTCAGAGCACTAAGTTTCACCCATTCTGGAACCGATCGAGACCAACGGGTTTCACCTACTACGAGCCCCCTCGAGAGCTCCAGGTTCCACCTACAGTGGGCACCCTTGAGAGCTCCAGGTTTCATGTACTCCAGGTCTTCTCGAGAGCTCCCAAGTTCATGTACTTTGTGCACTTTAACGAGCTCCAGGTTGCAGCTACTCTGGGCACTCTCGAGAGCTCCAGGCTTCACCTACACTAGGGCCCCTCGAGAACTCTAGGTTTCACCTACACTGGGCGCCCTTGAGCGCTCCCGGTTCCACCTACTCTGGGCTCCATCGAGAGTGCCAGGTTTCACTTGCCCTGGGCCCTCGCGAGCTCCAGGTTTCACTTACGCTGGGCACCCTCGAGAATGCAAGGTTTCACCTGCACCGAGCGCCCTCAAGATCCAAGTTTCACCTACACTGGCCCCTTCAAGAGTTCCAGGTTTCGCCTACTCTGGGCCCTTCAAGAGTTCCAGGTCTCACCTACTCTGGGCCTCCTCAAGAGCTCCAGTTTTCACCTACTCTGGGCCCACTCGAGAGTTCCAGGTTTCACCTACACTGAGCGCCCTTCAGAGCTCCAGGTTTCACCTACACTGTGCGCTCTCCAGAGCTCCAGGTTTCACCTACTCTGGGCCCACTCGAGAGCTGAAGGTTTCACATACTCTGGGCCTCTCATGAGTTCAGGGTTTCACCTACTCTGGCCCCCGAGAGCTCCAGGTTGCACCTACTCTGAGCGCCCTTAAGCCTCTCAAGAGCTCCAGGTTTCACCTACTCTGGGCCCACTCGAGAGCTCCAGGTTTCACCTACTCTGGGCCCCTCAAGGGCTCCAGGTCACACGCACTCTAGGCTCCACGAAAAGCTCCAAGTTTCACGTATTCTGGGTCTTTTCAAGAGGTTTTGGTTTCACTCACTCTGGGCCCTGAAGAGCTCCAGGTTTCACCTACACTGAGCGCCCTTGAAAGCTCCAGGTTGCACCTACACTGGGCCCCTACAATAAGGTTCACCTACTCCAAGCCCCTTCGAGAACTCCAAACTTTACCCACTCGAGAGCTTAGGTTTCCAGGTTTCACCTATTCTGGGCCCCCAAAGGCTCCAGGTTGCATCTAATCTGAGCGCCCTTGAGAGCTCCAGGTTTCACTTACTCTGGGCCTCCTCAACAGCTTCAAGCTTCACCTACTCTGTCAAGAGCTCCAGATTTCACCTACTCTGAGCCCCTTCCAGAGTTCCAGGTTTCAGTTTCGCTGGACCCCCAAGAGCTCCAGGTTTCACCTACTCTGAGCCCCTTCCAGAGTTGCAGGTTTCACTTTCTCTGGACCCCAAGAGCTCCAGGTTGCATTTATTCTGGCTAAAGAGCTCCAGGTCCCTACTCCGGGCCTTTTGAAGAGCTCCAGATTTCACCTACTGTGGGCTTCCTCGTGAGCTCCAGGTTTCACCTACACTGAGCGCCCTTCAGAGCTCCAGGTTTCACCTACACTGTGCGCTCTTCAGAGCTCCAGGTTTCACCTACTCTGGGCGTCCTCAAGAGCCCTAGGTTTCACCTACTCTGGGCCTCCTCAAGAGCTCCAGGTTTCACCTACACTGAGCGCCCTTCAGAGCTCCAGGTTTCACCTACTCTGGGCCTCCTCAAGAGCTCCAGGTTTCACCTACACTGAGCGCCCTTCAGAGCTCCAGGTTTCACCTACACCGTGCGCTCTCCAGAGCTCCAGGTTTCACCTACTCTGGGCCTCCTCAAGAGCTCCAGGTTTCGCCTACTCTGGGCCCACTCGAGAGCTCTAGGTTCATCTACAGTGAGCGCGCGTGAGAGCTCCAGGTTTCACCTACTCTGGCCCCCCTCAAGGGCTCCAAGTTTCACCTATTCTGAGCTCCAGGTGCTACTGACACTGAGCGCCCGCGAGAGCTCCAGGTTGGATCCACAGCGAGTACAAGCTAGGGGGCTCCCGGATTCACCTTGTTAGTGGTCCGCACTGGCTGGACAGCTCCAGGATTCGCCGTGTTGACGCTCAAGTTAGGTTCCAAGGCTCATCGATTCGCTTCAGTAGTCCTGCACAAACTAAGAGGCTACTGGATCCACCATGTTCATGGACCGCACAAGCTAGGAGGCTCCAGGATCGACCTTGTGAGTGATCTGCCCCGGCACGGGCTAGAAGGCTCCTGGATTCACCTCGTTAGTGATCCGCGCAGGCTCGGAGACCCCGGGACTCACCTTGTTGCAATCTGCACGAGCGAAGAAGTCCCTGGAGTCATCCTGTTTGAAGTCCACACAAGATAGGACGCACTTCAGTTCGCCTTTTAGTGGTCTGAACAGGCTAGGAGGCTCCTCGATTCGCCTTGTCATCGTTAGTGGTCCGCGCAGGCTAGGAACCTCTTGAAATCATGCTGTTTATGGTCCGTCTCGCTCGCCCCTCAAGCCGAGCAGGTTAGGTGCCTCAGAAACAGATCACGCGCTTTGCTACGTCAGGGCCGCCCTGCCTCGTGATGGCGACGTTGACCCTAGGAGGAGGCCGGCTGCACAGAGACACGAGGGCAACCCAATACGTTCAAGTACGCATCCACGGCCCCTGCCAGGTATCCGCGTTCTGGTATTGTCCGAATTCTGCGTGCCACTGGTCTTCGACGTTCCTGCCGACGCCACGGTGGAGCACGTCAAGGCAAAGTTTGTTCGCCGAGCCGAGTAAACCACGAGTGTCCCTCCTGCACAGGTGATGTGGTCGAGGACAACGAGGCTCCAGTTGACGCGGGACACCTTCTGCACAATCGGCCACCGGCGGGTCTCGAAGGCAGGGGAAGCAGGATCCCAGACGAAGCTACGAAAACCGAACCACGAAGCCCAAGAGCCTGCACCGACAGCACCACGTTGCAGGACGATCCTTTGCGTCCGCTACTTGACCAGGAGAGAACCGCCTTGATCCGGCTTTATCACAATAGGGGTCTCGGGCCGTGTTTCACACTGAGCCGCATCTGATCTTGCGGGTAAGGCCTGCGATGACGAAAATGGGAAGGGGACCGCCACATTTACCTGTCGCCGAAGCAAGCCGTATGGTATCACTGCATGACATCTTGGTGTAGGCCGGCTCTCGCAAGAAGCTTTATTGAAGCAGCTGTGTTGCTGCCACGTAGAACTGATGTAGTAGAATCGCCAGGATAACAACATCGGTGCGAGATTGTGAGTAGCATATTCAGCGAACACACACCACGGAAACAGCAGTGGCAGCACGTGCTGACACTAGCAGCCACAGAAGCAATACGTACAAGCAGGACGATCAGCGGGTTGTCAGCTCCTGAATCTTATCGTGACGAGCCCCCGACAAACGATGCACCATTTGTATCAGCTATCGTGAGGCGATGGAAAGACTCGCCGAGACTGCATCAACAAGCACGACAGGTTGCTCAGCTCCGAGCCCACGGCATGCCTCCAGTAGACCACTTGCAACAGTCTGCAAACAAGCATCTGAGGCTGGCGCGACGACGAAGCTCGGATTAGCCAGGCCTTCGACGCGACAACGCATGCGCTGAAGATTCGTCCATCGTGGTTGCGGCAAATACTCTCAGGCGCCAACTCGAAAGTTGCCGCACACGATGTAGTGGCTGTAGCCGTATTCACACGACAGCTCGCAGGTACAAAGACGATGGAACTTCGGAGCAAGCCGTGCCCGCCGTCCCTTAGTGCGTGCAGGATCAGCTTGATGGAGACAGGCACCAAGCTCATCAGGGGTACCGCCGTCCTCGCACAATCTCGTCTACTCACCATCGAGGAACAGGGCACCCACGCTGATGTCCTGCAGGCAGGTCATGCTTTGCCCCATGCGCAGAACACCCGTGCCTGTCCGGAGGCATTAAACTACGAAGCCGAGCGGACCTACGGCTGGGTACTCCAAGACGTCCATGTACATCCAGAGCCCTTCGAGGCAGGCATCATGGCACGTCTCAGAAAGTAGGAGAAGCGGTATCTGCGCAGATACCAACATGGGCGGCCCGTGGATCTGTAGTATGGCTTCGACGTGAACACTGCATGAGCCTAGCCCGTCTACCGCCAGAGGCGAGAACACGCCGATGCAAATCCAAGCGGAAGCGTTCCGAAAGTATCACCCAAACGTGAAAGGGTCGTTGTCGCAGAAAACGAGAGCGCCGCCACGCATGCGCACATGCGCTCAAACCTGTTCTGGCATCTGAGAACATGTGTCCCACTCTCACCCGTCTCGCAGAACCTGCTCGGACCAGACCTACGCCCCCCATTCGCCCCGGGAAGCTGCCTTCGCAGCGATGGCAGCACACCTCGAGCCCGACCTGTATCAGGAAGTCGTCGTGAGCTTCATCAACGAGGCCCGCCAGGTGGCGGTCCGCTTCGGAATAGAGCAGCCGCTGAGGCTGACTCGTATGCCGGTAGACACCACGACTGGCATCAGGCAGCTTTCGCGACACATGCAGCTTAACGAGGAAGACACCGAGTGGTTGACATGTCTGGCCTCGCACCTCGAACCAGAGCTGGGAGGAGTCCTCGTCACGGCACTATGGCAACTCAAGGACGACATCGTTGCTTCAACAATGCGACGGCAAAGGCCTCGAGAACCGTCGCCATTCAGTCTACCACCAGCCGCGATGGAGTCGTCCGATGCCGAGAACAGAACGCTGCTAGCACCCGAGCGAAGGAAACGCCCACGATCGGCTAGCTCCTGATTCCACCACGTGCGAGGTGGGCTTAGTAGGAATGTGCATCTACGTGCAGCAGAGAAGGTCATAGCTGTCACACAACTTCGAATCATCTGCACAGGAGACCGGAGCTGGAGCAAAGATTCAAAGTGTCGGAGGACCCGTTAGTCTCGGCACAGTGCAGACACGCTGTAGCAGCTCGCCCGCAGTCAAGTACACCCGGCCTAACGCACCAGGACTGCGTGTTCACTGCCTTGCCGACAACTTAGTGCCACGCTGCATGAGCTCAAGAGGGAGCAGTGTCTCCGAGCACCAGGGCTGAAGCGCACCGTCTCGCCTGTACAGTAGATGAAGCTTGCCTCAGAACGATGCTCGTGAAATACAGACAAAAGGCACCGTGCTCCGCTGTGCACGACTCGAGCCCGACCTCTTTCTGCCACACGAGGTGTTACTTCTAGGCAACCCGCTAGCAGCCCCGCCCGATAACGAAAAATCCCTACCCCGATTTCACTTACTTTGGGCCTCCTCAATAGTTTCAAGCTTCACCTACTCCGTCAAGAGCTCTAGGTTTCACCTGTTCTGAGCCCCTTCCAGAGTTCCAGGTTTCACGTCCTCTGGACCCCCAAGAGCTCCAGGTTTCACCTACTCTGAGGCCCTTCTGTCTCAATCCAACCATCGTCCCGATACACCCCGTGAGCCGTCTGATCAAGAGAAGTCACTGACAGTTCACGTAGACCCGATATGACGATCGCCATCACAATGATGTTCTGGGCCTACGAGTACAAGCACATCCGGCCAAGCGGAAGGATTGCGCGCCACGGGGAACGGCTGACCCTCTGTCTCTGCATTGCGGTCAGCGACGAGCAGCCCCAGGGCCGCACAACAGCATCGTAGCTCTGAAACGGACCCCGCTCACAGCCCAGTATAACGTATACATCCCTGTACACCCACGTGCGAATACATAGAAGGAAGTAAACAGTAGTGGCACTCGGTGCCCAGGCAAGCGAGAGCATCGCCCTACTGTATCTTTACGACCCGCTACGGCACGAGCACCAATGCCCATGGAGGTTGGTATCTCAAGCGCATCGGCTCCTTCACCAGGATCACGCCACGATTCAACATCATGGGACCGGGATACATAAACACCCAGTTGTATCTGTACGGAGTCTTGGCTGCACCCCAACAGCACATGTCCATGAGCGACGAGTTCGACATCCTCTTCCCACCCCCCCACACACCCAAGCGCAGCGTAGGTAAAGACGGCGCCTACGTCGGCACGCACCCCAAGAAGAAGGGTCACGACATCATCCTGCAGTTTCGCGACTACTACTGTGAGACAATTCGAGTCCGACGTGCCATAGCCATCTGAAGCAGCGCATACCAGCGCGACAACAGCGGCTAGAAGAAAAGGTGGTGCACGGCCACTGTCGTGTCGCGTGGACTAAGACTAAGAAATCCACAGTCCGACGAGCTGTGAGGATGCATGCACAACAAACGCATGTCAAATCACCTGCACGCAACCGACCGCAGTGCTAAGATCATCAACTGTGCTACGGCACCAGCCCTAGCCAGCCGCAGCCGCGAAGCCCCGTGCGATACCAACAGCCATGGCTCTCTCTCAGGACATACAGCTGCAGAAGAAAAGGCGCTTCTCCGCGATCGACATCACGCCGTCCCGGAGCAACGGCACCGGCGATGCAGAAGGCAACGAGCTGACGGCAGTAGTAAGAAGGTGGGGGAGCGCCTTCACCGTGTTCGAAGGTGCGGATCGAGACACTCCCCTGTGGCAGCTCCAGATCTGTCACACCGGACGGAATTCTTTCGGGTACCAGGTGCTGGCAGTTGCCAGAGAAGCGGTGCAGAAACATCCCAATCCCAACGTCCGGGATCTGCAACAACTGGAGTCGATCCTCCAGGTGCGACTCCTGAACGGGGCGCCGCCCCAGAATGGTCCGCTGGACCCGGACGGGACAGGGCTGGAAGCTTGGCAAGTCGTTCTGTACTCAACTTCGGTCTCAGCTGCATTGGACTTCGTCCAACTGGTGCTGAGCCACAAGGTCACCAAGGGACACTTGCTGCAACTGCCCCCCCTGCACATCGCAAGTCCAGACGGCGCGGTGGACACGGTGCCTCAGCCCTGGAAGTCGAGTCACTATCCGCTACACGGCCCGAAAGCCTTCGCAGCGTTGCCTCCAAGAGGACGCCGCCACGTTTTGTGCCAGGTCGAGCTTCGTCAGTCTGCGGTCAAGACGACCAACAGCCAGGATTCGGGACAGGCAGAGGAGACGAATATGGACACCGAAGCCGACGACAACGCGAAGGCCATCTACACAGTCAGCATTTTCGGAGGCATCTACCCGTACCGCGAACTCTTCGATGCGGCCAACATCTCCGGTGGACACATAGCACAGCCGGACGGCAATCGCGACTACGTGCGATTTCTGGAAGTTCACAACGACGACCAAGGCAGAGACAGATTGACGTCGCTCTTCGAGCAAATCCTGCTCCACGTACCCGTGTACCTCATCGACTCCACCCAGACCCTCAACGACGAGATGGTGTCTTGGATCGGCAGCCTACCATCGGTGGAGCTCGGAGAGACGAGCTCCTGAAGATCCTCGCTGAGGCTCCCTGTACAGACCTTCCTTGCAACGTGCGGCGTGGCGCACTGCACAGAGCCCGCCCTTCGGCAGACAGAAGGAGAGACCAGTCCGCGACCGACAGCGAAAAGAAGGCATGGCGGCGTGAGCCATAGCGTTGCCCGAAAGGGAATGCAGAGTGAAGCCGTGACCAAGGAACACTCAGTGCGCGCAGCATCCCGAGACCTCGAGCCAAGGTAACAGGACCTGAGCCCTCCAGCCCCAACTGCCGTGGTGCCGACAGCATGCATAACGCCAACGGCTCGACCCCCTCTCCGAGCGCCGCCAACAGCCTCGCTGACGCATTCAAGAGAGCAGCACACAGCGCGGAGGAGATCCCGTTGCCGACTGTCGTGGACCAGGACGGGGACCTTAGACGAACGTTTCCTGTTTACGACAAGCTCACATCCCCGGCGCCAGGATGAGGTCGCGGAAGCCACGGTTCCTGACACGTGCCCAAGAGACACACCATCGGGCCTGGCCGACGACGGGCGCGAGGTCCAGGCAGGTAAGCGGGCTACACATAATCGATCGCCCTCGGTCAGGACTCGCCGCAGACGTTAGGTCGGCCTGATTCTTGTGTAGGCAGAAGGCAAACACTCAGACGAAACGGTGCCAAGGAACCAAGGCTCACATCAGAGAACCGGGGTCCAACACACCAAATTGGATGCAAGGTACGCGAAGAAGGAGAGAGGACCGGCGACCTGCCAGGCAACGGCGCTATATGCTCTCGACGCGAAGGTCCTGTGCCTGAGGAGGGAGACAGAATCATGGTCATGAAGGAAGCTTGGTTGCAGCTCGTCATGAACCGTCTAAAGACTCTGGAGATCCGCGGTGCGCCGGCTGCGTTGGGGAGAACTTGGCTGGGCTGCAATGGCCAAATTCACGGAGCAGCCAACATCGTCAACTGCAGCATCATCACGGAGGCAGACTTCCAAGCCACAAGAGCGCAGCACAGGCACTTGGGAGAAATGCCCAACTACAAGAAAACGTACGCCCTGACTCTGCAAGATGTGACGCAGCTCGAGCCAAGCATCGACTACTATCGGCTGCCAGCCACATCGCCGTGGGCGGTGTTTCGCACCGGACCAACTGGCAAAGCGCGTCGGTCGGGGGCGCAGAAAAGAACTTTGGAGCAAGCGCATGACACGAAGCCATGCGAAGACATGCCGACGGAGCTCCGAGCCGAAGCCAGCCCGTTGCCGCTGACATCCGGCATGGTGGACCAAGAAGAGCCTTCCCTCGGGGCAGGAGACCGGACGGACGAGCATGACGACAGGAACAAGGAGTGAGGTGGAGCAGCCTCACGGCACAGGACTCGTCGGAATGACGAGGGGACCTATTGAAGCCTGTTTCAGGAAAGACCAATGCGGCCCGCGCAGAAAGACAGCCATGCCACTAGGACCCTCACGGATAGATCATGCAAGCACGAAACATGAGTGCCGCATCACATAGCATCGCCGCAACGAGTCGCCTGGTTCTGCCACCCAGGGCCCGAGCAGCTGCCAACGAGCCATGCTGGTTTTCTCGGGCAGACAGGCCTGGGCGGACGTGCAGGAGCCCAGACTCGAACACGCAGCCACGTTCGCGCGATATACAGTGCCGTTGCAGTCAGGACCACGACAACGCCGACGAGGAGGGGACACAGTATGCTCGGAACGGATGTGCTTACCTCAAGCAACAGACGGAAGCCCTGCAGACACTGCAGGACCCGGCGGCCGGCGCACCGCCGAGGCAGGACCACTTCGAGAATCAAGGAGGACCCCGTCGCCACCTCGTCCGACCGAAGCCAGTATTTACTTCGAGTAGACAATCTCACGCCCTGGAATTAATGCTACAATAGCTGAATGCAAGGCAGCAGCGACCTACTCTCCACGAGAACGACACGCCCAGATACAGAGTCGCCGCTACCACGGACGTTGGAAGGCCGTCACAACGGCACCGAATACAACGGCACGACGGATGCCGCAGAAACAACTTTCGACACCGGTCAGCCGCTCAGTGCAGTCCTTAAAGCCGGATTGCAGGACCAGCACGATCATGCACAAGAGACCGTACCCAGGCGAGACGCAACTGAATCTCGAGCTAGCAGAATTCGTGCAAAGCGCCCTGTCTCGTCGCTGGGGGCCCGAAGCACTGCAAGACTGGCAAACCAGCATGCAGCGCCGCTGCCTCCGGCATCGTTTCCCTTGTCGACTCTGGTATGAGTTTATTTACGAATGGCGAGTAGAAGCGGAGCCAGCAGACCCACACACCCCGACCGGCGTCGGAAATCCGACGGTATCGGGCCCTGTCGCGACGTCGTCAGCGCAACAGACGCTGTGCGACATTCGAGTACACGCAGCGCACATCATCCTGATAACATCCCAGCCGACCACGGCAGAACCCGTCACAGGGCAGCTGTCCGTACAGATTCGTAGACTGTGAGATAGGACCAGAGAAAAGTGGAGAGCCAGCAGACTTCAACATCGCCGTCCGCGCTGGCAGAAACAAGAATCGTGGTCGCAACCGGCATCTGAGTATCATACAGAAGCAGCTGCAGCCATAGGATCATCAGGAGCGTATAGTCCGGGGCGCACACCATGGCCATTCTCCTGTACTTTCTGGAAGCAGAGTGCGGCGTCCTGCTACGGCGGATGCTGACGCCAGCGGAGGTCCTCCTTCTGCTGCAAGTCGGCAGGTCCTCGAACATGAGAAGACTGGCGTGGGCCCGAGCCGTTCTGGCAGATGTGGCCAGGTTACGCAGGGTCTTGGAACCCTTGAGGACCATGCGACTGCGTTTCCCCGGCTTCGATCTCCCCGTTAGCATCAGGTACACAAAGGGCTGGGCTCCCCCAGACCCCTCGGACCCGCTGGAGACCTTGGGTCCCGTCGAGGATCTGCTCTATTGGTTGGACGACTTCGGGCTCGGAGGGTTCTCCCCCGCCGAAGCGGTGCTGGTGATGAACGCGTGGCCGATACAGACAAGGGACGCGGGCGCGGCTTTGAGCGACCTGCTGGAAGAATCGGACAGCCACTTCTTCTATTCGGCCAGGCCCGCCGCCTTCCGAACGCAATTCCGACCTACTCTAGTAAACGTAGTCGTCTTTTTCACTTACAGAGGACTGAACACCGTCCTTCAGATGCAAGACGTCGTCAACGACGGGTTTTACACATAGACAGACAGTTGCCGGAGAGGAAGCAAGTCCGAAGCGACCCCGCGTGACGGCATTCCACGCGACAGACGAAAAGAAGACAGACTGTGCCTTCCAGATAATGAGCAGGAGCAAGTCCGAAGTCGACTCTATCCATCTGTGTCTGTTCTCGAGCACAGGGCATGTCGCAGCCGCTTCAGCGTCAATCAAGAAAGCACGCGCAGGCTCCACTCGGATCACGTCGCCTTCCATGTCGGGCATCGACTACTCCAAGTGGGACCTACTTCAAAGCAGCAGCGACGAAGAGGACTTCGGGAACCCCATCCCGCCGCAGTCTCCGCGACAGCCCATCACGACAGGTCCCTGGGCGGTGGCCGATCCCTGGCACAAGTGCAATCCGCTAGTGCGACGTGAAGTGCTCAGAGAGGAGAAAATTCTCCACAGGTTCGTGCAAGAGCACCCCTGTCCATCCGAGAAAAGCCTCCGGCGCTGGCTTCGCAGCATGAGCGGCACGGAAAGAATCGTTCCCGGAGAGCTGACCTTTGCATGGGTGATGAAAGACATGGGGTGGAACTCCGAGCACTTGGCGTGGTTCCACTACCCGTCCTTCCGGGAGCTCTGGCAGGCGGCGGCCTTGCAAACGGCCGAGGCCTTCACGGTCCAACGCAGTGCGGGCAGCACTTTGTACCAGCGCGGCGGCAAGGAGTGCATGCAGTTCAACTTCTATGCGCTGCAGCACGCCATGTGCGGAGAACATTTTCACACGGACGCCCCACTCCCCGTGTACTCGTACGCGAAACGCCTGGAGCACGTCTGGGACGGGATCGGATCATGGCGAGCGTAGTGAACCGCGCCTAGCGTATAGCTCAGCTAACAGACCAGAGCGGCGACGGCTGCCGCGAGAAAGCAGGCAAAAAGTGCACAGACCCCGATGCTTTAAGCAGTAAACAGACCTACGGAGCGCCAGAGCCAAGTTCGGATTCGACGTCGGCCCGAGCCAAACAGAGATTCGACTAGCGTGAACCGCCCGGACCCAGGACGACCACCACCGGCGACCTGGCATAGTCCAGCAAGCCTGCAGCTGCCATGTCGCACAGGAAAGACCACAAAGATGTGGAGCAGAGCACCGAAGACACCGAGGCTCGGACACGATTCATCCCGTTATCCATGTCTACATGCAACAGCACGCCTGTCTGCCAGGCAACGGATGCCTGCCAGAAAGTACGAGAATTCCTAGGTGCACATCTCTTCCGAGCATGGTGCAGCGCCAATGTGAGCAACTGGACCTATGCGGACGTTCCGGGCGTCTCGGAGATTGCGCCGGAGCAAAACCAGTGCCCATCGGAGGAAACCGTGCGTCAACTGCTGCCCGGCATATCCGAAGTAGACAAGACACCGGAAGGCTTCGACTACTGCATCTACCGACTGCTGTGGCCGAGACGAGACTTAGCGGCACACACCGATATGACCCGTCTCGTGACAATTTTCAAAACCGTGATGGCAGAAGGAGGCCAGCGCAAAGCGTGCCTGTACATCAACCTGTTGTACAGCACCGGGGCCAGTAGTGCGGTCCATCCAGAGAGGTCCGACCCTGCTATAGGACGACTACGGTACCGGGAGCGTCTCTGGACGGCCAGTCAGATCGCAGACACTATCCTAAAGACCATCTAGTTATAGCGGCGTCAGCATTCCATAGGGCACAGCAGCTTCACCGACTTCGCAGGAGCAAAACCGAGCGACCACCGCACCACACGAGCATCGGCCATGTAGCATGCACACTCTTCTGGCAGCTGTGGGCTCGAACCGGACACTTCGAAGTATACTAGAAGACCTCCCGGTACCGGACCCAAGTACAGGCGGAAAGCAGCCATGTCGTTGCGCGACGTCCTTGCCAGCTCCAAGGAGAACGAGGACCCCAACGAAAGCCAGGCACGATCGAGCGCGGCGCTGTAGTTTTGTCTCCACGAACAACCATGAATCCGTGCGATGCCCCGTCCTGTGCACCCGACAGGCCATACGCTCTTTCCGACATCTGCAAGAGTTCCTGTCCGTGCACATGCTCCAGGCCTGGTGCGACGCCTATGTGGACAATGCAACTTACTCAGACCTCTGCGAAGATCCGGATGTGGATCCCATAGAAACCCAGATGCCTACGGAAGCCATCATGCACCGGATCATCAGCGATAGCGTCCCAGCAGGACATATGCGCAGAGCCTTCGAGTACAACTTCTTCGAGCTGCTCTGGCCCAAGCGGAACATCTCGTCGCTGGACGACATGACACGCCATGTCCTGACATTAGCAGCTCTGCTGGTTGAAGGCGGTCCCAGCGCCGTGCGCCTGCACATCGAGTTGGTGTATCGCACCGTACCGGGCGGCCCAGAATATCCCAACGAATGCAGCCCAGTGGCAGCCCTGCGGTATAGGAACCGCCTTTGGGCAGCCAGTGAAATCGCCAAGATCCTTCTGGAGAGCGTCTGAAACCATGTTGCCGGTTGTCCAGGGCACCGCCGCCTCACCCGATGCCCAAACAGAGCGGAGCAAAAAACTGGCACATGCATCGAGCAGCACAGCTGGGCGATGACGGAACTGCTGGCCATGATACTCATTCGCCAATCTCCCCGCAGCCACTTCGGCTGCATGCGACACCGGACACCGATCCCTCCGCTTACGGTATGGCCTGCCCGACCAGTTTACTCGCCCTCAGTCTGTAAAGAGTCCGGTGTTACCATGTCTCCAGGTCGCCACGACAACCACGAGGCCACACTCTTGAGTAGCCCGTCGTGGCCAGCATAGACAACTCTGCACCGGCCCAGCTGCGTC